CTAGGAATTACACAAGCTTCAGTCTGGATCCAGCCCTTACTAAGATCTGAGAGGACCTCAGATGATGCCAACCCTGAATCAACATACAAAACTACCAAATTTTCCTATAAGTTTGATCACAACATATACTCATTGCTGTTAATTGGGTTCATGTTTGAATACATGTCATTAACTAATTGCATGATTTTTTATATTTTTATTTCTGCCATACGGACATCACCTTGACATAGTCACCACTGATAAGCTTCTCCTAAATATAATGTAGAAAGTTTAATTTTCTGTGAAGCTGCTTTGCAACATTTGTGTTGTGAAAAGAGCTATACACGCACACACACAAAAAAGAAACATGCAGGTTTGTTTGTTCATTTATTTATGTTTAACTTTGAGTAATTTGGCCCTCCATAATAAAATGTGTAGTTCAACATTATTAATTGTGGTAGTCCTTTTTTTTTTACCTTTGTGTCACATACAAATTAATAGCACATTACATATTATATTATATATACAATATATATATTATATGTTGAAAGACTGTGTTTACAAAACTTGCAAAACCAATTATTGTTTTAGCTATCAGAGGTAAGAAGAACCACAAAAGTATCGGCAGATCTAAATAATCAGATGTAGGGGCTATTCTTTATTTTTCTAATTCTTTATGTTTATGAGCTGTTTTTCAGAATGAAAATACTTACATTAATTTGAATTCTTAAAACTTAGAAATAGGAATTTAATATAAATTGACCAGAATCTGAAAAATACTTGGTATGAAGCAAAACAACACAAGCTTTTTCCCCCCACTGGACACATTTCTGTGAAATATTCAGCTAGTTATTTGGCTCTCAAGTTCAGACGAAAGTAGGCTAACAGTTCACATTTCAGGCATTTGTCATACTTCATGTCGTTTCTAATGTATATTTATTGTAGGGCTGTCAATCGATTAAAATGTTTTATCTAATTAAATACAGGGTGCTGAAACTAAATTTGGCTGTGAAAATACCCCCAAAAGATCATTTAAAGCTATTATTGTGTTAAATGTTTAGGCTACAATGGCCTAACATAAAGTATGGAACATAAAAGAAGATAATTTGAGAAATATCTCAGTATTTTTTGTTCATGCAAATGAAAGTCACTAGTGACCAAAACAGCTTAGTTACCAACAGTATTCAAAATACCTTCTTTTATGTTGTGCAAAAGAAAGTAAGTCATTCAGGTTTGAAAACATTTTTTTGGTGAACTATCCCTTTAATGTTTTTATTTATTAATAAATGAAATGATACTCTAAAGAATAAACTAAAACTACCAGCAGCTGGCGGTAAATGTCTAAATGAGTCGATTCGTTCAAATGGCTGATTCATTCAGGAATTAAGTAAACGACTCAATTTATGAATGGGCTTTTGAATCATTGGTCCACACGATTCGTTCAAAACGCGGATTCATTCAGAAACTAAACAATGCTGTGTTGCTCGGAGATGCACAACAGTTCTGCTGTGGCTTTTTACTTCTTATTTACTGAACTGTTGTATGAAATCACATTTGCACTGGTGTTCTTCGTGACAAAAACTGGTGATATTGCTCTGGTTGCTGGTGCGATATCATTTATCATACGATATAAATATGAGACAAATACTCATACAAGGGCATTTTATGCCCCAATATCTTGAATTTTAGGGCAGAACTGCATTTATGGAGTTGTTGCCCTGCATCATATTTGTCAACAGTCACCTGTATGGACTGTAAGATGACGTACAGGTTTGGGGGCGAGGCCAGTGAGTTAACTGCGTTAAAATATTTTAATCGTGTTATTTTTTCATAACCAATTAATTAAGTTAACGCGTTAAACTGACAGCCCTAATTTATTGTATTAACTGAAACATTTCATGATGCATTTCATCGGATCATCATATTTTGTTCGGTTCATTCCTCCATATTTTTATAGCTACGCCTCAGGTCAGCTATAAAGGCCCATGGAGTGCCATGGGGGGATCTGCTCCCCTCTCATGTGGTCATTGCTAGGTTTAACACTTTTCCTTCCAGACACTTGATTGGGCTGACATCTGTGGTTCTTTATCAAAAATCACTGGCTACTCCATACCAGTGAACACTTTGGTGTTATTACTGAATGACGACTCCATGTTGACGCTCCCTAATTGAACATAAAAATGTTTGACTTGCTGGTTTACATCTGCTAAAAAAAATGCTTGCGCAAAACTGGCTCCCATTTCACATGTTGAATATTTAGAAGTGGCTGATGCAGCTTTGAGACATTATAATGCTATAGTCATTCACGGCACAGGTGGATTTTGCACAAACTTCTACGTTGAAGACCAGGGGCCAGTTGCATAAACAGCCACTATGTTAAGACTGTGTCTTAAGAACTAGTTTGACCAACTAGTAGCTAGTCAAGAGGTAATCAGACTTACTTTTTGGATTCAAATTAGACCATTCTACCTTTTTATAACTGACTTTAAGAAGTTAAAAAAATTAATTAATAAGACTAGTCTAAGTGGTTTATGCAACCGGCCCCAGGACTATTGCGGCTGGGGAGATTTCTAAGCACATAACACAAATCAAAGACCCTTTGGCTAACTGCTAGTTGGTCAGACTAGTTCTTAAGTCACTGTCTAAACACAGAGGCTAAGTTTATGCAACTGGCCCCTGGACTCAGAGTGAACACAGCTGACTTCTCCTCTGTTCTCCCTCAACTCTGTGTGTATGTACCTTTGACATATAAGTCTGACATACCATAACACATGTGATCATTTGTGTGTGTGGTGTTTTTTTTTTTACCAGCTGCCTAATATGTGCCCTATTGAATAGAGATTGCAGGTTTAAGTGGGGTGGGAGAGGGATAAAATTAATTTTGTTTGCTTAACATTTTATGCTGTTTTTCATGTCATCTCATGCCATTTTACTTAAATGAACAATGGCCTATGGAATATCGTTTATTGTATATGTAGTATTTCGTGAAATAAATAAATGGATAGAAAGATAGATAGATAGATAGATTCAGTGCCGTATTGATTTATGCTCACGGTTCGTTTTACTGTATTCCGTGCTTTAATTTGAATTAAATACGTGTGTATTACATTGGGGGTTTTTCTGCATGCAAAGCTTTATAAATCAACGTTCATAATCTGAAGTCTGTGTAAGTGGAGGAGACTTTTATTATTGCTCCTTATTTCTACCCTTGGCAAATGACCCTGTCACACCCCGCTCAGGTTGATTAACCCGGAAGTACCCACGCGGCTCACAGAGCACTCCGTCCGGTTCTGCGGGCTCAAGGGGAGAAACGCCGAAGCACCATGGCTCTGTTCTAATCGCGTTTATTAAGAGAAGCGTGATCAATTTACCGGCAATCCGTCACCATCCGCGCCTTAACCATGGACCTCCAGTCAAGAGGCTTGTCCTGGGGGCATCAACTTTGTCAGTAGTAACATCTGGAAACTGTATTTATAATTTTCCCCCCCATACTGTCACTTTTTTTTGCCTTTGCACGATGGGATTTAAACCCAAAGTGTCAGCAGCTAGCAAACAATTCTCACTTGATTAACCCAAATATTCCTGTGGAAACCAAGACGGCCTCTGCTAGTAACGAAAAATAAAAACAAAAAACTTTCAAGAAACGCGTTGACGAAGTCTTGCCCTCAAGTTTTCCCCGGGTGAGTAATCCTACTGCCTATCCTATGCTAACTTTGATAGCCGCGTTTAAACCGATAATCGTAGGGGCCGAGCGGGCCTAGACTGATCCTCACGACGGGTTTAATGTTGGTGGGTGGTCACGTAGCAAACATTTTCTTCGTGAAACGATTTTCTTTGAACTTGTCACTGATTACTTTCCTAATTTCCCTCTCTGTTAACCCGGTTATGTGTTTCTGAGCCTTTATTTCCCAGCGCTTCGCTTTTTTTCAGTTTCACACACACACACATTGCTCATATTTCTGGGAGTCAGTCCTCTGAAATTTGGGGAACATACAAACTCGGCACAGTTTAGTCCCGTCCCGTTGAGGTTTTCATGGCTTATCGACTTTGGATGGCTTGTTCTCTGGTATTTTAGGAGCATTTTGTGACCGTTAAATGTCTCATGTGACGTATAGAAGGAATGTCGGCACGCGGATGTCAGAATAAGTTTGTGCGGTAACGTTACATGACGGAGATTTGTTTTTTCCTCGGCAAACTTAACTTTACCCATGTGTTACATACGATACTGTAAACGAACCGGTGCGTCGATCTCACTAACCGTCGGCTTTCACCATGTCATTGATTTGGGGGGGGGGGTAGCTAATAAGCTAGTGCGGTGAAATCGACACTTCCCCTCACGTTTACTGAGCGGGCCCGGTTTGATTTTATGGTTTTCTCCGATGGTTATCGAGGTGGGTTTTCGTCAGATGGCGTGTTGAGGTCGTTAAATCTTGGTTTGGGAATAAAACGATGCTGTTATGGTATTGAAAGTGGAGTGGATGTGAACGTGTCAGTGCCATATGGAGGCTAGCGCTGTTAGCTACTCCGGCAGAGCATCATGGCTGCGGTGTGACACGTCTGTAGAAGCCTCGCGCTGCTGGGAGCCTAGCGTGCAGAAAACTTAACATTTGGGAAATGTTACCGTAGTGGTTTCTTTTATCAGCTCTGCTTGTCTGTTCTGCAATGAGTATGTGAACAACGTATTTAAAACGAGTTTAAAACTATTTGGATGTTGGAGTTTCAGTATCTTGAGGATTTCATAATTGAATCAACCTGTTTGGTGAATTTTATTTCCTTGTGGCTCTGTCATATGAACCACCAATAGTGGATTTAGTTGCTTAAAGGGTGTAGTTAAACCCCCAAATGAACTTTTTTGTTGTTGTTGTTGTTGTGTATTTGACCACTTCTGTTGAAAACAATGTATTACAGATTGACAGTTTCAGTTACCATTCGCTTTCATTGTGTGGAAAAAGATGCAATGGAAGTGGATGGTGAATGTGTAACATCTTTTTTGTTATGCAAAAGAAAGTAATTTATGAGAACAACGTGAGGATGAGGAAATGGCAGTTTTCATTTTCCAATGTGAAGTATGGCTCTGACATTCATTCGTTTTTATCTGGTTTTATGTTTCTTGAAGTTTAGATTTTTTTGTCCAGGTATTTAGTCAGCAAATGTTTATCAAGTAGATTTTTTTTTATTTACTTATAAATGTAATGCATTTATTGTAAGAAAAGCTTTCCTCTTGGAAGCCCAAGGCATACTTTGTGTGTGTGTGTGTGTACAGTGTGCAGGATTTACATTTTGTCACCTGCACAAGTACATGCGTACATGACACTCACAGCCCGATTTTTCTAACAGTACGTACTCCGTATGTGCAGTTCGCACATGTTCATTGTATTTATTTATTTTTTGCGCTAATCAGATGGCAACTCTTCCCTGGGCCACAGTCAGAAAAAGAAATAGAGGGCACAGGATGGTGACTACAAACTACTACTGGAAACAATAAGCATAGACGCTCGTGTTTAAAGGGGTCATATGATGCGATTTCAAGTTTTCCTTTCTCTTTGGAGTGTTACAAGCTGATTGTGCATAGATAAGATCCCTGAAGTTGCAAAGACTAAAGTCTCAAAACCAAAGAGATATTCTTTATCAAAGACTCTGCCACGCCCCCCTAAACGGCTCGTTCTAACACGCCCCCACATATCTACCTCACTGTGTGGAAATATTTGCATAATGCGGCCCAAATGTGCACGCAAAGAAAGAAGGTGTGGTTTCAGTAAACGCAGTTAGTGTTGAAGCAGCCATGTCAGGGAGACACTGTGTGTTTCAGTGCGAAAGCAAAAGCACTTTATTTGGCCTTCCAGAAAGTAGATGCATTTAGGAATCTTTAAGATCACTTACAACAGAACAGCAATGCATTTTATGGACGACCTTTTCGTGAACCTAGGAGAGGAGGTAATTCTGACTTTGCTATGACAATCTGGCGCTTCTGAATCAGCTACTGTTTTGTTATTAGTTTAAGTATTTGCTATTGACTGTTCAAATGCGGAGTTTTGCGCATCGTGTGTGTGCGCGCGGGCGAGTGTGTGAGAGAGAGAGTGAGAGAGAGAGAGAGAGAGATAAAGCACGCAGGGCCTTCTACGCCATCAAACGGCAATGTCCTATAGAGATCCCTATTAGAATTTGGCTGAAAATATTAGAATCAGTAATTGAGCCCATTGCCCTCTATGGCAGTGAGGTGTGGGGTCCACTGACAAATCCCAATCAAGATTTCACCAAATGGGAAAAACATCCGATTGAGACCCACTACATGTTTAATACTTTTTATATATTATTATTATATTATTCTTTTTCTTTCTGTTAATACATGTGTACTATTTGTGAGCAGTCCAGCTGCAATTGCTTTGGCAATACAAATGTATAATTTTTGTGATGCTAATAAAGCACTCTTAAATTGAAATTGAAATTGAGAGAGAGAGAGAGAGAGAGAGGGGGGGGGTCACATCACAGTGGAGTCAGCTGTCTTAACCGTGGCTTGTGTACTGCAAACACATACCAGCTTCATCACTGTGTCTGCCACCCGACTCTCCCCTCTCGGGCTCTGTCTTTACATTCATTTTGACGAGTATATACATTTCCGACAAGTGCTTGAGGTGTTCGGCCAATCACAATGCACTGGGTCAGCTGGCCAATCAGAGCAGACTGCGCTTGTCGGAAGGAGGGACTTTGTAGAAAACGAAGCGTTTGAGAGAGGCGGGGCATATAGGACTTACAATAATGTAACTTATTTGAAAAATAATGTGTTTTTTTAACATTAAAGCATGTCAACATATTCTGTTACACCAAATACACAAAATAATGATCTTTAAAAAAGCATCATATGACCCCTTTAAAAGCACTTGTGTAAAGGGGTTGAGAGATTCCCACAATCCTAGTTTAAATGATTACAAATAATTTTCTGTAGTGCTCATATTTTGGAGAGAAATAGCACAGATACTGGACTAGGGTTGTGACGGTGAGGAAATTTTCCCACCGGTTAATCGACGTGTGACAACACCGATAATACCGGTATCACCGTGGGGGCAGGGGCGTTCCCTCTTTTCCACGCTTTCCTTCGCTTTTAAATGGCTTGTAAAAGCGGAGTATGCATTAGCGAATTAGCGGCAATTCGGCGTCAATTGCTTGAATGCAGCAAAATACAACATCAAACTTGCTTTAGCCTATATATAAAACAGAACTTTTATTAACTAAACGAATAAAAATACACCATGCTATAGGGCAGGCTATGGCTAATATAAAATAACAAATAACTTGCATAGTTTAAATAGGTATACAAAACTGGAAATAAGTAAACGTATAATATATAACCAAATAAAATAAGAAACGTAGAACGTTTATTAGCAAAACGAATAAGAAAGATTGGAGGCACGGCATACACCTTGATGTTAAAATAAATAAATGACACAAAGTTTAAATAAAGTAAAAATCAGCAAACAATGTGGAACCAATTAAATAAGAAACCAATGTTAAAAAAACTTCCAAAATCTCCTTAGATAAACGGCAAAAGTCAACAGGCTTTTCAAAATCCAAAATACTTCCAAACAGGTGCTTTTGCATTTCGTTTCAAAACTAAATCATCCGGCATTGTCTTGTCTGTCTCAGTTTTTAATTGTAGTATCTGTTCTTTTACTGAACTAAATGATTTTTATTACTATAAAAAAATCTAAACGATGGTGGAGGTCGGTGCCGTGGTGGGCAAGTGACGTAACCGGTGTTGCGGCTTAACGGTATCACCGTCAGCACCGTCTATCGCCGCAAGCCTACACTGGACATGGATGAAAAGTTCACAAATATGTTGAGCACCTGTGTTCGAGCATGCCGTCAAATGGAATATACTTTGATAGGCTGATCGTGCAACCGTGTGCGTACCTGTAAAAAAAAAAAAGTATACTTTGAGCCTAAGTGGCCTCAAATTTAGGAATGTACTTTACGATTGTGTGCGCTGTACAAGCCAGTGGCTTTTGTGTGAGTGTGTAATGGGTATCTTGCCAGTTCTCCCAAATGCATTGATTATAACTCCACAACTCGTTCCTGGTGTTCCCTCCCCCCACCACCCCACAAACACTTCATCTGGATGTCACGGATGGCTGGGCATCGGGCTGTATTGAACACACGCTTGGCCTACCCTCCCCCCTCATGCCATAAACATCCCATGTTTAGCTCGTTCATCTCTAGGTTGTCTACGTCCTACTTTGGGTTACACATGACACAAATGCCTTTCGGACCTGTTGTCCTGCTTTTCCCTTTTGAGTAAGAAATTCATAAATGCAGTTTTGCCTTGGTGGTCTGTCAGAGACTTTCGTGTTCCTTCTGTCGGAAGCACATTCCCCATGTGCTTCAGTTCCCCAGCATCGCTCATCCTCCACCGTCTGCCCTCTCCCAGAAAGTCAGTGCTTTTTGAGAGGGTGTTTATTGCTTGCCATCTGTCGGGATCAAAAATGCAGAGCTGGATCACAGGGTCACAGGGGGCAGACAGACACGCCCAGAATGTAGAGCCTACATCTCTATAACCTCTGGTCTGAGCTTTCCAGCTGCTCTCCTGCGGCTTCCCCATCCTTTCTCAGCTGAGATGTGAGATTGTGTTAAATACCCAGTCTGGCTCTGTGTGTTTGAGATCTTAAGGGTGTGGTCTTATCTCAGT